GGCTCCCTAAGACTGCTCTGACCTCTGCTTCCAGCCAGGGGTAAGGGAGCCCTTGGCTGAAGGGTCTCCTTCCCCAGAGGGATGGAGTGCTAGAAAATACTACCACCACCTGGGCCTAACAGATTCCTCCTTCTCCTGGTCCCCCATATGGGTTTGTTTTTTTTTGTGGCTGGTGTCACCCTGGACATCTTGTGCTCATCTTTGCAGCAGCCTTTGCTGCTGGCATTGAAAGGCCTGAGATGACAATGTAACACATCACTGCAAAATCACATGAATGCTGCCAGGATGGAAAGCAGCATTTAGATTCCATGAACTGACCAGGAACAGGTCTGCCTGCACCTACAAGTGGCTTCTCCCTGCCTGGTGATCTCCCTGTTCAGCCCTCATCCAGCTGGACACTGAGCATCAGCCAAGATCCCAAGCAGTTCCGCACCACAAAAGAGCAAAGTGCTGCAGACCCATAGTTCAAACAAAAGTCAGAAACTGACCAAAAGAAAAACCAAAACACGTTTAATTAGTTTAAAAGAAAAAGTGACCGTACTTGCTTAGATGAGAAAAATAAACGACTAAAAGTGTGTTTAGTGAGCTCTCCTGCCAACCTGCCAGCCCGTGGCCCTGGCTCTGCCCTGGGGCCTGAGGGCACTGCTCTCTCAGAAGGTGACAATGGCAACTCACTCGGGACACAATTAAGACAATTGCTGGCGTAGGGAGGGTGTGCTCTGTGCTCTGCTCTGCATTTGGCTGCCGCTCGTGGCCATGGCACAGGTCAGCAGAACTGCAAGAGAAGGGAGGTCAAACCCCGATTAGAAAAAACTGCCCAGGGGAGCCTGCAGGTCATGCACGTGCTGGCCTAGAAGACAGGAATCCAGGTCTTGTTCCTGAAGCTGGCAAGGGCCTGGGGGTCCCACAGAGGCAGGGCTCACCTCCTGGAGTAGGGGCTAAGCAGAGCTCCCCTTTGAATCTCTTGGATGTGGCTCTTTGGCACTGGGTAATGATGCCATTGCTGCTCACCACTGATCAGAGATCTCTGCTCACCCCCAGATCAGTGCACAGCATGGAAAGAGCTGGTTTCAAATCCTGCAGGATGTCATCACCACCATCTCTTGGGGCTGAGGGGGGACAGAGGGAGGATGGAAAGCACAGTGAAGTTGGTCATGGCAGAAGAGGGTATGTAAGGAGGGAGGCAGGGAATGCAAAAGTGAGACTCGACCCCAAGCTGGTCTGCAAAGGTGGGATGAACCCAGGAGCCCCTGCCTCTGTGCTGGGAGGAAAGATCACTTGCTAGAGGCAGTCAGTGTTTGCAAGCAGCTCTGAGAACAGCAGCTCAGCATCTGCAGCATGGTGGGTGCAGCTACCCCAAGACCCCTCAGTGCCAGTAATATCCTTGGTGTGCTACCTTCCAGCGGTTCCCACACTCGTTGCAAACGACGAAGGTGGTCATGGGCTCATCGGAGCTGCGGGTCTGCACCTGGGGAGGACACAAGGGGCATGAGAACCCAGCACTGCACATGGCCCCCCCTTGGGGGGGGGCATGGGGAGCTCCTTGTCCCTCTGGCCACCAGGGTCACACTGTCAGAAATCAATGACAGACTTGGGAGGGCAAAAGGAGCTTCCCTGTAAGATGAGTCTGTTGTTTTGCACACAGATACCTCCATACACATCTGTTGACCTCTCTCTAGCCTGACACTACCCAAGGGACATGTTTTGGGGCAGCAGATTTCCCTCCTCACCACCTCTGCTGCCCATTCCTTGTGGATGGATCTGGAGGTGCACAGACCCACAGCCAGTCCCTCTCTATCATTCCCCAGGAAGGGACAGAGCCCATAGTAAGACAACAAAACCCTCAGCCCATCAAGCACCTGCTCCACCACAACAAAAAAAAGACCAGTCCCATGTCCTGGACTCACAGCAACATGCTCTGGGTTACCAGGTTCTGCACATTTCCAGTCTGTTTTGTATTTAAGCCATTAAGGAACTCTGCTATTTAACCCAGATATGACTGCTGCCTCTGACTGGTTCTTGCCAGAAACATACACTTTGCTAAAAAGCAGATTTTCATGGCATTTGAACACCACAAGGCAGATCTACACTGAAAAAACTGGTACTCCTTGCACAAGTCAGACGGCAGAACTGTCAAGGGGTAATTATGGTGATCTACATGTGTAATTACCCAATACGTAAGAGTGACAGTATTTGCAAGATGCATATGAAGCATGTTTTGCAAGCATACTGGATAGCTAAGTCCTGTAATTCTCACCCAGTGTTACTGCCTGGCTTCCAACACTTCCACAAATGTCAGTTCATCTACTTGGAACTTAAAACACCTCAGTCACCAAATAGTGATTTCACTGGAAAACCAATAGAAACACAGAAAACCTCCTGATGTTTCTATTCAGAAGATGCTCTTGCCAGTAGCCACAATTGCAGGCAGTTGGACTCCAGGCTGCTACAGGTGGAGACAAGAGTCCCACACTGCTGAGATGAGCCAGTCGGCCCAGACAGCACTTCCAGCTGAACTGGGATGCACTGGTGGAGCCAGGCCTCCAGCCTGAGGCATCCTGTGGGATGTGAGGCTGTGCTGAGCCAAAGGAAAAACCCCCCTCAGCTGCCTGGCTCTGGCCTGCACATCACACCCCAGTGAGACACACACGCAGCCTGCACACCCGCTCAGGAGCCATCACGAGGCTGCTTGGTGCATTTCTGGGTATCTGCACATTCTGAAACACTGACTCACAGAAAGGCACATTCATCTCCAGATGCCCTGGAGCCAAGATGGGAACTAAAAACCTCTGGTAATGCACAAGGCTTCCAGCAGCTGTTCACTGAGGAGAAAAATCTCCTCTACCTGCTCACATCACTGCTTCACTTATTCCCTGTGGTTCACCTTTTTCATGTTTGATTTTAAATCAGTTGGGATTTGTCCAGCCACAGCTAATCTACATTCTTAATTTGCACTTCTAATACCACCAACATGCCTGTCTCAGTTTCTAGTCTCTCTCCTCTACACTACCCACTCCTTTCTTGTCTGCATTTCCACATCCTCAGCAGCTCTCCCAAGCTGTGCAGCCAGCAAGAGAGCTTCCTTGGTGCTGCACCACCCCTGCTCTTGCACCAAGGAGCCACAAAAGGTTACCCAATCTCCAAAGAAAGATGTGTGCAAACTCACTGTGCAAAAGCAGCACATTCTAGAGACCCTCAAGTGTACAACAAGCACTAAGAGCTCATGACTGTCCTGTGTGGAGGTCAATAATGTGGAGGCTGCAGGAGCTGGAAGATTAACCTGGGTGTAGGTGCAGTTCTTCTTCTTGCATTTCCCACAGGTGAAGAGGTCAGTCTGTGTCCCTCCTGTCTTGGCCATCTGATGCTCCCGGATTGCTTCTTTTGTCATGGCTTTCCTGATCTCTTTCAGCTCATTACTGGCCATTTCCTTTCAAAAAATAAAAACCAGCAATAAATTTACATCTGTCCAGTTTTGCCACCACACCCACTGCAGGTAGAAAGTCAACAGGACAGGGTGGCCTAACAGATGGGTATTCCCACAGAAAGCCTTTCAAGGCTGGTTTCTGGATCTGAAGTCCCAACCCTCCCCATCACCAGCTCCCTCTCCCTGCAACCCTGAGCAACCTGCAACCCTGGCAGATCAAACCTTGCTTCCAGCCAAAACAAAAGCCTCCTCACCTCTGAGGTCATCACAGCGATCTGCTCAGGGGTGATGGCCCCACAGAGCACGTTCTTCTTCAGCTCAGGGTTTTTGGAGTCCTTCAGGTTGGAGATGCGGCTCCTCACCCGGTTTTTGTATTTCATGTCGGTGTTCTTGACATCCTGGTATATGCGTTCCTGGCAGTCAAGGAGTCTGCAATCAACACAGAGGCCTCCAAGCACTTTCTACACCACTCATGAAGAGCAGGGAGGGTTTACCTGCTGGCAGGACACAGAGGAGGGTGCTGGTACCTAACAGCAGTGTCTGCTCTGGGAGGTTAGTGCTGGAGTTCAGAGCAGGCTTATTCAATCCCAGAGCCCACGGGATGTCAGCTCTGGCTTTTTCACTCTGCTGGAAGTAACCTTAATTTTCAGTTATGCTTGGGTTCTTCAACATGCTCTCTCTCAGCAAGGTAGCTAGAAAACACTCCTACCCCACAGCTCCAAACCAAGCAGACTCCTGGTTTATCTCAAATGGACATGCAGCTTCATCCTCATTTCCCCATCATTCCCATTGCTTTTGTCTGTATCAGCACACCCTCCTTATCAGGGAGGCATGTATTTGGAAGCAGAGCTGAGGGCAGGAAATAGCATTTGGATGGGAAGGACAAACTGGGGATTACAGTCCATTTCAGGTGCAAACAGGGAGGAAATAAGTGTCCATCACACCACCAAGGGGTCTGTCCTGAGCTCCCAACTCCACACTGCTAATTCCTTAGTGACCCAGGACTCAGCCAAGAAGAGCTGGAACCAGACCCAGAGCCCTGACAAGCCCAAGTTGCAGCAGAACACTTATGCAAAGAAACACTGCCCCATTTTTCCTCCAAGCACATGAATCCCATGGCCTGGAGGCATGCAGGACCTCAAGAAAGCCCTGTGCAAAGGATATATTCTTCAATCTGGGCTGCTATGTGCTCACAGTCAGCACCAATGGCAACGTAGTCATCTGCAAGACAAGAGAAACAAGGTCAGCAACTTCCAACCAGGCAAAGGGGTCCCCAGGCTCACCATTTCTGAGATACAAATCTAGATAGTTTGCTATTCTGATTTACATGTTCTTTCCATTAAATGGTGTCTTGGCCTTTGCTCTAGCAGCCCTTTGACCCTACTGAAAAGGGCAGAGATGAAAACAGATCAATCCAGGCAGTCTCTGCCTCTCTAGGAGATGGACTGCACTAGACTAAGCCAAGAGTAACCTGGACCCCAAAACATACAGTTCTCCAACATATTCTTGGTATAGCTGAAATCAAGCATATATAGGCATGAATTCTCATCAGATATTGGTGTAAATGAGAAGGAGCTCTACTCAGACCAGCAACCTGGCAGTGCACCAAAGCTTGCAGCATCAAGCCTTTATTTCCCTTCTCAGCTCAGGACCCTGCCTGCCCCTCCCTCCTCCCTCACACACCAATTAAACAGCATCACACAGAGTGCAGTAACTGCTGCCAGTTTGTACACTGGCTATGGTGACCAACACCATTAGGCAGGGGAGACAGGGCAGGGCTTGGTGAAAGACTTTGAGGGGCCCATTTCCCAGACTTCATATGGAAAGGGTTTTTCTAAGAGTTATACAAAGTATTTAATGGATCCTACATGCTGGAGCACTGAAAGGCAATAAAGACTTTGTGAACTTCTCCATCTGCTGCCTACATCCCTTGGCTTCAAATTAGACTCTGCAGCATTTAGACCCCAATTTTCCAAAGGGCTCTGCAGTTTGGACACAAGCATGTGTTCAGCCTGAGGTGTTTAAAATCTGACTCTCAGAGATGCCAAGCACCTGCAGCTGCCTCTCATTTTAGATGGCACAGCCTGAGCACAAGAGAGACCTGCTCTCTTGTGATCCTTTGGATCTGTTCCACCCCAGACCCACAGGACCACAGTATTTAAGAGTCTAAGAGCAGGTGTTGAGCTGATGGCAATAATCCCTTGACAAGGCTTCTCCAGAAGAGCATATCTAAGAGGAGCTGGCACTGACCTCCATGCAGGGGTCTGTCTGAATGCACCAGGAGCTGTGAAGAACCTCAGGCAAAGCAGGGTTTCCCTCAGCACTCACCATCAGCCTGCAGAGCTGCTGTCAGCATCTCCCTGCACTTGTTGCGAACAGCATCGCAGGTGACGGGCGCCGGCGGGAACGTGGTGATTTTGGGGGTGGTTGGAGTCTTCGGAGGCTCCTGCCTTTTGTTGGAACTAAAAGAGAAACTTCACCTGTCAGGATGTCTCAGTTCTGGTCACTGAGAGCAGAGAAAGGGCCAGCTGGGATGCAGCCAAGCATCCTGTTAATCATAAAACAAAACCAGTCAGGAGAAAATAGAGCAAAGCCCCATGCCCTGAAGCAGCACAGATCAACCAACACCACCCACCCAAACACCAGCTCTCTGTAGACTCTGCTGGCTGTCCATGGAGCTCTAATCCAAGAAGCAGGCCTGCCAACCACCTCCTGGTATTGGACATGTATCACTACTGCTGCACCACCAGGTGTGGTTGCCTAGATGGATGGCACTTCATTCCTCAACCACTTTGCAGGACATAAAGTCCTCAACTGCTCTCAGCAGCAAGGGAGCAGAAGGCAACATGAAGGTGAATCTTGGCAGGTGCTGGTTCCTCATCTCACCTCCTTTATTACCAAGATGTCAGCAGCAAGAAAGAAAAGAGCTGAACAAGAAAGCTCTGTCTCTGTAGCAGATAAGGAGCACAGCATCCTGCCTTCTGCTAAAGCGAAAGACAGGCAGACAGAAAATGGCTCCTTCAGCTCTGATATTTTTAAAAACCAAAACACCAACAAAGCCTATCACAAGAGAATCTTCCTTTCTCCTGTAATCTGGACAAGACTCAGATTACTCATCTCACAGGAGCACACCCCTACACAACCACACACCATTCCAAGGCTGGTGTGCTAGAAGAACCTCACCCAGCAGCTCCACTGGGTGCACACCCACAGCCTTGAAACATCTTGCCTATAAAGCCCCATATCAGCTCCTAGGGTTAGTTAGCCCTGCTGGTAAAAGATTTGGGCTATTATGCTTCCCAGGTGATTTTATAGAGCTTCTTCCCCTCCCCCTTAAATCTAAGCAGCAGAACAGCAATTTTTTTTAGCAGAGGTTGCTCTGACTTTAATGTTTAGGCCATAAAATACACTGGTTTTATGGCCAGTGCCTGGGAACATTAATGCAGCCAAAGACAAAGAAAACAAGAGAAACCCTGGTATTTCAGCCATGCCATACTGGAAACACCTTGAAGATCCAAGTGTCTTGACAATCACTTAAGCTGGGTCACTACTGCCTGTTCTGTGCCACCAAAAATAAACCTGTTACAAACAGGCACCTCCACCACACTGTCCTGGAGGAAATTAGTCAGCCCACAGAAAAACAGCACTAAGCTGGAAACTTGAGTCCACTGCTGAACAAACTGAGCCAGGCAACTTCAGGGACTTACCCTGGGATAAGCCTGGCTCTGCACTGCCTCAAAGCCCAGAAGACCATCTTTAGGGCTACTGGATTTCCACAGTTCAAAACCTCACCAGGCCCTTTTAAGAAGCATCCACCTCTGCACCTTCAGCAAAGTGTTCAGCTCAAACTGTAGCAGAAGACTAATCTCTTGCTCAGATGTAACATTCTATCAGGGAGATCATATTCACAGAATCATAGAATGGTTAAGGTTGGAAGGGACCTGAAAGATATTGTGAGCTTAACTAATTTTTCTTTGACCACTAATTGAATAAAAACACTTTTTACCAACTAATTTTAATGGTCAGTGCTGCAGGAGACTATTGAGGAACAAATTTGTGTCAAAACACTCAATAAGATCTACACTGCACATACTACAAAAAGAAGAAACAACTTAGCTTGCAAATAATCCATTAGATGATGATCTTGTCCCATCTGGGATGTGCAAATCACCATCAGGTCCTTTGGTGCTTAAGCTGTGCACAGACCACAGGCAGCACACATGGGGTGCAGAGCAAAGCACACACAACTCAGGAATCAATCATCTGAAAATCACAGCTGATCATGTTGCATAAAACAGCTTGGAAAAATGAGACTTCCCAAAGGATAAAGGCAGAAACCTAGAAAACATGCCTACAACAAAAGGGAAGACTGAAGGAAACAGAGTCATTTGCAGGAGGGAGACTTAAAGGAGACAAGTCCTGAAACACCCAAAGAACTTGTAACAAGGAAGACAGGAAGAAAAATCCTCCATGCTTGCTAAAAGCAAAAGCATGAAAAAAAACAGTCTTAACGAGACAGTTTTGATTAGGTTTCAAATCATAAAGGTGAATTACAAATCAGAAGACATCACCAAGGGCAGCTGTGGAACTGTTTCACCCTGAGGTTTCATAAGGTTGTCAAAGAGCTTAGAGAAGAGGTTGTCCAGGACAGCTTGGGCAGAAGTTGTGCTCTCCTGGGATGGAGTGGCAGGACAAGCTTTCCTGAGAGCTCTTCTAGCTTTAAACTTTTGTCTCATTTTGCAAACAACATCAACGTTAAGGTCTCCCAGAGCAAAACACTTCACACGAACTCTCAAGACTCAGCTTTACCACATTCCATCCCTCACTAATATTCACACATGACACTTGATTTTCAGGAAGATTCTACCTGCAAAAGCTACTGACTGAAATATTTAGATAGTTTATTCCCTGAAGGTGAAAACAAAAAAAGCTAGACAAGATGGATGGTTATCCCAGTTCTTTTAGCTGATGAGTAAAGACACATTCGCCTACACACACATACATGTCATACATGCCCTGAGATGACAACTGTTCACTCACAGGTTAGATGAAACAGACTTCTCAGCCATTTCAAAGACTGTACAGAAAATTATCAAGCTTTAGAAGTTAGTTTATAATTAGAATAGTTGGGAAATAGACCTCAAACACATCTAGAAGACTTATTTCAGGAAATCCTTGTGATTCACACTGTTCCTGTTAAACAGGAGAAAGAGCTTGTCAATCTGTCCAGGCAACAAAAGTTTATACATTAAAAAAGGCTATGCTGAAACAAAATGGTGGCAAAGGAACAGCCAGGGACTGCAGGAACTCAGGGCTGCACTGGAAGAAAATCCCATGGAAGAGCTGAATTCAGGCCACAGATACAAAACCCCCTAATAAAGGTAGTTTAGAAAATCCTGGGAAAGAGAAAGCTCCTGCTGCCAGAGACAGAGAAACATCAGACACAGCCCATTAAAATGTACTACCCTAATGGTCTAAAGTACTACAGCACATCAAAATATGCCTTGGATTACAGGAATGCAGCAGATAACTTCACAGCTCCAGACTGGCTGGCTCAGAGCCCTCAGGTCTCACAGTGCTCTAACTCTCCAGTCACTACAGAGGGACTTCCACATCTGTGTTCCAGAAAGCAAGACAAGTTTCAGGCCAAGAGCTACTCAAGTATTTCTCCCTGACTGAAGAGGAAGGCCTAGCCAAAATCTATCAGAGTAAGTGGCTGAAATATCTGAATACCAGCTGACCTCTTTGGTGTCCTGAGAGCAGCCTCATCTGACCCAGCTATCACACACTGAGCAATTACCCAGACTCCCTTCATCACAACCTTTGCTTCCAAGAGCAAAGGCTCTTCACTGCTAATAAATGACTTTTTCTTGTCAAGGCATATTAGTAGTTTATTTTGCAGCACTGGAGAAAAACCATTCCTGTCTCTGGAAAGAGT